GACAATGTGCTCCTAATTTGGAGGCTGTAGGGCAGGAGGTTGCCCCCTGCCCCAAAGCTCTTTCTGCAGACTCAACTTCGGAGACAAAGAGGACTGTGTTGTTGAAGGCTTTCATGGCCGGAATCACTGGGTTGCTGTGAGTTTTCCAAGCTGCATGGCCATATTCCAGAAGCATTCTCTCCTGATGTTTCTCTCACATATATGGCAGGCATCCTCAGAGGTTGTGAGGTCTGCTGGAAACTGACAAGTTTGAAAATTGATTCTTGCCAAACAGCCACAGTGGTGCCATTGAGAGGCCAGGAAGATGCAATGCATCTCCCAGCTTCAGAAACAAATGGACAGCACAGGACCTGTATTGAAAGATGATCGATAGATAAATATGTCTATGAATTTATTTATCTATTCATCTATTAATCTTGGCTTTGCCGAAAAAAGAAACACTAATTTAATGGAGGAGGAATGTGAGATATAAAGGAGGATTATAAAGGATTTTAACTGGGGTTTTTTTTTACTACCACTAATATTTAATTCTATTTTGTCTGTATATTTTTAAGTGTTAAATTGCATTTCATTTGGTTTTATTGTATGCCACTTTGAGCCTCTTTTGTAGAGGAGAAAGCAAAGTATAAATAAACATTATCATCATGTACCAGTATATATATCATACTCCTCTTTTAAAAAGTGTGATAATTTTTCTTTCATCTTCCATGAGAAGTTAACTTTTGGTGCATTATACTTTTCTACTATTTGATGCATCTACACCAGGGATCCTCAAACTTTTTAAACAGAGGGCCAGGTCACAGTCCCTCAAACAGTTGGAGGGCCGGATTATTATTTGAAAAAAGCATTAATGAATTCCTATGCACACTGCACATATCTTATTTGTAGTGCAAAAGACATTAAAAACAATACAATAATTAAATTGAAGAACAAGTTTAACAAATATAAACTTATTAATATTTCAATGGGAAGTATGGGCCTACTTTTGGCTGATGAGATAGAATTATTGTTGTTGTCGTTATTGTGTGCTTTCAAGTCGTTTCAGACTTAGGTCCTGAGCAAGGGCCGGATAAATGACCTTGGAGGGCCGTATGTGGCCCCTGGGCCTTAGTTTGAGGACCCCTGATCTACACTGTAGAATGAATGCAATTTGTATTGGAGCATGCAAGCAATCAGTGAGTGTGTGTATCAACTGTAAAATAAGATGCATGAAGCTGATTGGTTGGGCAATGGTGGGGAGGGGTGATGGCTGAGCCTAGAACTGTTGGATACTGTTGCATTTTGTTCAGGCTTGAGCTATGCAAATGTTCAGAGAGAAGTCAGACGAAGAGAAGCAGAGAGAGAGAGACTGATTTGCTTCTTGGCTGCAGAAAGATTTCTCATATGGACAAATAAATACCATTTTAAATCTCTCTGAAAGGATATTTAGGGACTTGATGCAACTGTGCATACTGTACATATGTTGTTCTGAATTAAGGAGAGCAAACTACTTGTTCTTTATTGTTCATCTGCGTGGCATACTTTCTTTCTCTAGCAAGGCAGTGTGTGCGCTGATCAAGCATGAACTACACGTGATTTATTTTACATTACGCCAGTTTGACCCCACTTTAACTGCCATGGCTCAATGCTGTGGAATTATGAGATTCTTAGTTTGCTGAAGCACCAGCACTCTTTGGCAGAAGACCTTGGAAAACTACCACTCCCGGGATTCCATAGCATTGAGCCATGGCAGTTGGTATCAGACCACATTCATTCTGCAGTACAGATTGATCCAATAGTAGAAAAGTACTGCCAAATTACTTTTTGAGTGAGTTTTGTAGCTGTTGCTTCACAGAACTGTTAACTTAAGATGAAATGTGTAGTTCTGATTTAATTATCACTGTTAACATTTATTTTTCAATAGAAGTGTTTTTATATTCAGAGATACTCTGCAAAGAGCGCTAATTTAAGTGGAGCTGTTATAATCAACACTATTATTGGGTTGCTGTAAGTTTTCCGAGCTGTCTGGCCATGTTCCAGAAGCATTCTCTCCTGACGTTTCACCTGCATCTATGGCAAGCATCCTCAGAGATCAGCCCGCCCATTGTGTTTGATTTTTCACCTTGTTATTTTGCACTGTTTTATTTTACTCTTGTTTTACTTATTTTATTGTGATATTTTTTATCATTCTGTATTTATTTTGCTGTTATGTATTCCGGGCTTGGCCTCATGTGAGCTACCCCGAGTCCCCTTTGAGAAGATGGTGGCGGAGTATAAATAAAGATTATTATTATTATTATTATTATTATTATTATTATTATTATTATTTGAAATACAACAAGATGAGTCCACAGCAGACACTCTGCTGGCTATTGTATTGGATCACATGTCGGACACTTCCCAAGTGTCTAGGACTGTGATGTATCAGCAAATAATGCATGTAGATCCCAGTAGGGTGGCCCTTTGCAGCTGGCAGATGGTAATTTTGTCAGCGCCGATTGTGTTTAAGTGCAGGCCAAGGTCTTTAGGCACTGCACCCAGTGTGCCGATCACCACTGGGACCACCTTGACTGGCTTGTGCCAGAGTCTTTGCAGTTCGATCTTTAAATCCTCATATCGTGTCAGCTTTTCTAATTGTTTCTCTTCAATCCTAATAATAATAATAATAATAATCTTTATTTATACCACGCTACCATCTCCCAAGGGACTCAGTGCGGCTTACATGAGGCCGAGCCCACAACACACCAATCACAAAGCAATAACAACAAATAATACAAAGCAATAAAATAAAACTCATAACAAAAAAGCAATAAACATTAAGAATAACACAGCAACAGTTAAAACCTGTGCCTGAGCCAGATGCAATGATTAAAATTTAAAGATAATGCCAAGCATGAACAGATGAATATGAACTAGGATAGAGTTTTCAGAGAGGGATGGGGCAGGCAGACATTCCTAAATCCATCGTAAAGTGCATTTAGAGGACATGATGCTGGGAGTTTCCTTATTCTGGGAAGGCACACTGGAACAACCACGTTTTCAGACTCTTCCTAAAGACTGCCAGAGTTGGAGCATGCCTGATGTCCTTGGGGAGTGAATTCCATAGTTGAGGGGCCACCACCGAGAATGGCCTCTCCCTTGTCCCCACCAATCACGCCTGCAATGGAGGTGGAAGCGCGAGCAGGGTCTCTCCAGATGATCCAAGGGGTCGTGTGGGTTCGTACACAGAAATGAGGTCACGCAGGTATTATTATTATTATTATTATTATTATTATTATTATTATTAACTTTATTTGTACCCCACTAGCATCTCCCGAAGGACTCGATGCGGCTTACAAAGGCCAAGGCCTCAATACACAACACAACAATATAACACCAAAAGCAAAATTAAAAACAGTAAAGCAATAATGACGACATGCAATAAACAATACATCAAGACACAATAAAAGCTGGGCCGGGCCAGAGTAATGGGTACAGGATTAAAAGTGCTGATGTGGCAAGTGGTATACGAGGATTATAGGGCAAGTGCAGTGTGCGGTGTGCAATAATCTTAGTTTTACTAAAAGTGCTTCGAGGACTTGTTATTGGAGATTCCTATTCTGGAAAGGCACATCGGAACAGCCAGGTCTTCAAGTTCTTTCTAAAGACTGTCAATGTAGGGGCCTGTCTAAGATCTTTACAGGTAGGTGGGTCCCAACCCGTTCAGGGCTTTGTAGGTAAGAGCCTGCAACTTGAATTGGGACCGGAAAATGAACGGCAGCCAATGGAGCTCCTTGAACAGAAGGGTTGAGCGCTCCCTGTAAGGAGCACCAGTTAACAACCTGGCAGCCACCAGCCGAACCAATTGAAATTTCCGGGCCGTTTTCAAAGGCAGCCCCACATAGAGTGCATTACAGTAATCCAATCTGGATGTGACTAAGGCATGGACCACCCTGGCCAGATCCGCCTTCACGACGGTCGCAGTTGGCGCACGAGTCTTAATTGTGCAAAGGCCCTCCTGGCCACCGCTGATGCCTGAGCCTCAAGCGTAAGTGATGAGTCCAGGAGGACACCCAAACTGCGGACCTGTGAGTTCAGGGGGAGTGTAACCCCCTCCAGCGCAGGTTGCCACCCTATACCCCGATCCAGTTTATGATCGACCAGGAGGACCTCTGTCTTGTTGGGATAAATCTTCAGCCTGTTCCTCCTCATCCAGACAGCCACAGCAGTCAGACACTTGTCCAGCACCCGAGGGGCTTCCTGGGAGTTGGGTGGAAAAGAGTAGTAGAGTTGCGTGTCATCTGCATAGAGATGGCACCCAACTCCAAAGCTCCGGATGACCTCTCCCAGCGGTTTCATGTAGATGTTAAAAAGCATGGGAGATAGGATGGAACCTTGTGGGACCCCACAGGTCAAAGGCCAGGGGTCTCAGCAGGCGTCTCCCAGCTTCACCATCTGGGAACGACCCTCCAGGAAGGACCGGAGCCACGACAATCCTACTGTCACCTGGAATTGCAACATTGACAATCCATACTTGTTCATTCATTCAGTCATTTCTGACTCTTTGTGACTTCATGGACCAGTCCACACCAGAGCTCCCTGTAGGCCGTCACCACCCCCAGCTCCTTCAAGGTCAATCCAGTCACTTCAAGGATACCATCCATCCATCTTGCCCTTGGTCGGCCCCTCTTCCTTTTTCCTTCCATTTTCCCCGGCATCATTGTCTTTTATCCATACTACAGCCCGGAACACCCAAATGATTCCGGTGATGAAAGTCTTCGACAACACATCACCCTTATAATGCACACAATATCTTTATTTTACAATATTATTGCTATTATTCTCATCCTCTCCTTTCTCATGCTTATACATTATAGCCTGCTACCCTCGTCTCTTTGCAAAAGGCGCGCGCCCCTTCCCTTCCCACCCATGCCCGGGACTGGGGCGCGCATGCGCACTTGAGCAGCTGCGGCCTCGCCTATACCTTTTGGCGCTACCCACTCTGTTTAGAAGGGGGGGCGGGGCCTAATCCCCGCAGCCACGTGACTCCAGGCGCCTGTCCAAGATGGCGGCGCCCAGGGCTGCTGTTGACATGCTGCTGAAGGGTAAGTGCGAAGGGAGAGGGGGAGCCTGAAGAGTGTTTCTGCCAGAGACGCCTAGGGAACGGGCCACAGAGGAAGAGCGACTGCGCATGCGCTCCGCTTTGCCTTCCATTCTGAATTGTTCTCTACAGGTTGAGTAGAACTTACTCTTCTCCACTGAGATGTTTTGGGTGGCGGATTTTGGAGTGCCTGTCATCTGCATTTATTTACACCATGGGAAATCTTGGAGAATGGAACCCACAAAACACAAAACCAGTTTCAGTTGTTTCATTTCCTATCCCTATGTGCATAGCCCAAAGGAAATCATATGCACAATATTTGAAACCACTCTGTGCATGAAATGAAGTTTGTGTGTACTGAACTGCAAGAAAGCAGAAGTGTCACAATTTCAGTCATCCATGTGGAAAAGTTTGGATGTATGGATAAGATTTTTTGGCCTATACTATATATTATTTTTAATAATGTGCACAAAGCTGGGGGGAGGTTTGGTCGTGTCAGGAGCGACTTGAGAAACTGCAAGTTGCTTCTGGTGTGAGAGAATTGGCCGTCTGCAAGGACGTTGCCCAGGGGATGCCCGGATGATTTTGATGTTTTTATCATCCTTGTGTGAGGCTTCTTTCATGTCCCCGCATGAGGAGCTGGAGCTGATAAAGGGAGTTCATCCGCCTCTCCCCGGATTCAAACCTGCGACCTGTCGGTCTTCAGTCCTGCTGGCACAAAGGTTTAACCCACTGCACCACCAGAGGCTCCAAAGCTGGGGGTGGTGACAGCCGACAGGGAGCTCTGACATGGGCTGGTCCATGAAGTCACGAAGAGTCGGAAACGGCTGAACAAATGAACAACAACAACAATGTGCAAAAAAAAAGATTTGTATTTTTTGTTCATTTATTTACCCTATTTATACCTCGCCTTTATCAACCCTGAAGAGGATTCAAGGCAGCTTACATATGGCAATTATTCAGTTCCTTAAAACACATAAAACATTAAGCTTGAAAATCAATTCAATTCAAAATTAATACATGTTAAACATTTAAAACATTACATTCAATGTATTGCCGAAGGCCTTCATGGCTGGAATCACTGGCTTGTTGTATGTTTTTCAGGCTATATGGCCATGTTCTAGAAACATTCTCTCCTGACGTTTCGCCTGCATCTATGGCAAGCATCCTCTGAGGATGCTTGCCATAGATGCAGGCGAAACGTCAGGAGAGAATGCATCTAGAACATGGCCATATAGCCCAAAAAACCTACAACAACCCATTACATTCAATATTAAAATAATGCCATCCAGAAATCGTAGTCAAGGGCTGTTCTGTCGTTATTGTACATATTCCAAGTCCATTATTGCACTGCACTATTCTCTGAAAGCTTGATCGCAGAGCAGGTTTTTACTTTCCTTCTGAAGGCTAGGAGGGAGGGGGCTGATGTAATGTCACTAGGGAGGGAGTTGAGGGGCCATCACTGAGAAGGCCCTGTCTCTTGTCACCACCAGTCATGCTTCCAAAGCAGGCGGGACCAAGAGCAGGGCCTCCTCAACCATTCTTAATCTCCAAAGTGGCTCATAGAGGAAGATACGTTTGGACAGGTAAGCTTGTATACTACCAGAAAGCAAGTATGTCACTGTCTCATCCACCTGTGTGGCCAATTTGGGAGTATTTTGAAAATTTGGAAAATGATGACAATTTATATATATAATTCATTATTTAAAATTGACTGAGTAGGTCTGCTCAATAAGGGATGCCCAACCTGTATGAGTAAAGCAAACACTGTGTGTTTCCCTTTCCCCTTTGGAAAGACACATCAGACACATTATATTAATGGATTCAAAGATAATTGGTTTCTTTATTAACAATCATGCTTTTTTGGTGAGGATGTATTTCTTCAAGTTATTTATGAGTTCTGTCGACCCTTTTGGCAAAGCTGTCATAGGGTTTTATTGGCAAGATTTATTCTTAGGTAGAGATAGTGTGACTTTCCTAAGGTCAGCTGCTGGGTTTCTGTGGTTTATCAGGGATTCAAAGCCAGAATTGGATTTTCCAGAATCCAAACCCCCTACATCACACTGGATCATTGTTCTCACTGATTAAAAAAAAAATCCTTACTTGGTTCCCGGTTCTTTGAATGGCATGGAAGAGTAGACAAACTTTCCCAGAGCATGGCAACCAAAGATGAAGAAACAATAAGCAGTTCTCTAGAGCACCAAGGACCCAATTTCAACTCTAGCCATGTGAGAAAAATAAGGTTTAACATGTGGTTTAACCACATTTTTGGCACTCCCGTAAATTAACTGAATATATGGGACTGTCTTCTGAAACAGAGCATTGTTTTTTCTTGCCTTTTACCATTTCATGGAGTTTTATGCAACATTTCATTTTCCAGATGGGAAGTTGGCGAGAACTTTAGCCCAACTAGGAAAGGAATTAAGTTGGGAAATAAAAACAACAACAACTTTATTCTTATACCCCGCCACTGATATCGAGCTCTTTTGTGGGGGTCTCCCAGCGGGAGAGATCCCTGAAGACCGCTAAAGGGGTCCTTTGACCTCGGTGAGCAGCCAGCGAAAGCCAATCCAAAGAACGAAAAATATTAAAAATTAATCTCACCAGAGGCTGAAGAGGTTCAGTGACCGAGGCGTTTATTTCTGCGATTCAGCTGAAAAGGATGCGATTGCAGTGATCATTCACATACAAGCATGATTTTACAGAATTTTCCAAGCATTTTATAGGGTTCAGACAAAGGGAAACAGTTTCAAAAATCCCGCCCGCCCTCTGCCGGCCGGCTTCGCCCTGATTGGCTGGCCACGGAACAGCTGGGAGGAGGCTTGGCGGCACGCCTCGCCCCCTGTCCAATCAGCGGTCTCCGCCGCCTCTAGGGGGCCAATCAGCGCCTTCCTAGCGCCTTGGAAGATGGACCAATCGGCAGCCAGGAGGCGGGACGAAGCCTGACAGAGACTGAGGAAATGACAGCCTTTGGGGCATCTGCCAGCTGGAATGTGTGGCTTTGTTCTTACGTGGCGGGGAGTTGGATAGGATAACAATGCGCTTCCTGGTCTGTGATGGGATTTGGGAGGAAGTATGAAAAGGAGCTTTCAAGGATATCGGACCTCAGAAAAGGGGGGATGACCAATACCCAAAAATGATTCAGTCTTTTCTTCCTGAGTTTCTGTTCACTCCCCCTCCCCTAACTGTCTGCTCTGAAAGTCAGGATCAGGAAGGAATCAACATCACGGACCATGCAAATGTAAACATGAACAGTTTCGGGAGGACAAAGGAGTTCCTCCCTACGGCAGTAATCCCCAGGTCACATTCTTTTTGGGGCAAGGGTCAAAGGGAAAGGTGGGAAGGGGAATCAGGGTACATTCCATATGATATTCCATTATACACATTCCATACATTTTATATATTTCATTAACAGAATCCCATCCCCATCCCCAGTGAAGTTTATTAAAAATAGTCGATCTATTTTATTATTTGAAGAAATCATAGTCTTCTTGATGAAGGCGCACGGAGGCTGAGGCTGCTTGGTCCTCAAGGCAAGCCTGGCCTGAAGTTTGTGTCCAAAGATGCAGCAGGAAAACAGTCCGGGACATGGGGCAGAAAGTCAATAAGAGAGGGCAAAGAGTCCGAAGAGGATTTCCGGGTTGCGATTGATGGGGCAACGTCCTTTGGGAAACTACATCTCCCTGGTCAGAGGCCGGGACCCATGCCTGGCTGCCTTTCTGGGGTCTCCTGCGGGTGACCACAGTGGGTCCCCGGTTGCTGTATCCAGGCAGGGCGAGCACCGCTGAGAAGGAACGAACTGTCTGGGAAGAACCCGGCCGAATTGGCAAACAGCTGATTTCTGTCAAAGTAAAATACTTGGAACAAAACAATTTATTCCCGGGTGAAGATGCCCAAAAATGAGAAAAAGGAGATGGCAGATAAGCTTAGGATTAGTTGTAGAAAAATATAGAATTGGAACGGCGGCGATCCGCCATTTTATGATTTCTCGCGGATAAGGGGGTCTGAAATGGCGGTTTCTGTATCCGCGGTCTAGGTGAACGCAGATTTGGGGTCCGGGGGGCGCCCGGAGGCGCCTCCCGCGGGCTCACGGCTCTCCGGAGCCCAGAAAAAAGGTTTATTGCAATGTTATTTTGTTTGAGTCAAGAAAGGATTCAAAAGTAGCATGCGGAAAGATAAAAAGTTGCAAGTTTCAAGTACCTTTATTAAGGAAATGATACAAAGTAGGGAGTAGGGGAAAGCTGAAGGAAAGTTGTAGGCATTCCTGGTTTTTGAGCTGGCTGCAGGGGCACATTTCATCTGTTGGTCCCAAAACTTGACCCAGGAACTGCGGAACTCTCCGCTGCGGTTCACACCAATGTGAAGGCGGGGCTCCCCGCCGCGCTCGGGCTCACCACCATCTCCCCAAAGGGACTCCGGGCGGCTTACATATGGGACAAAACGACTACAAGACATAAAAGCAAAAACAATCCATAAAACAAAAGACATTAAAATAGCATCATAAAATACAACAACTGGGTACAAACACACTAAACATAAAAGTAAACAACAGATTGCATTGAAGCTGACCAGGGCTTGGACTAGTTACTTTTTTAAAGGACATCTCCCAGTATCTCCTTCCCTACATTATGGGGGAATAAAGAGCTGGAGGAATACAGTGGATATCAGTCCCTTGATATCCACTGGGGTTGGATTCCAGGACCCATCCAGATACCAAAAATTTTGGGTGCTCAATTCCTACTATATACAATTTCATATACAAAGGTGTCCCTTATCTCAAATGGTAAAATCAAAGTTTGGTTTGAGAAATTTAAAAAAAAATACATTTTCAAAACATGTTTAGTTGGATACAGAATCAGCAATTACTTAGGGTTCGACCCTTTGCCAAAACCCAGCTTGTTCAACTCTGCCTTTCCATGCTGCTCCTGAGTTCTGCTGCCTAAAATCATGGCAAGCACCAGGATTGTTACCCAAGTATATGTAGATCTCTGTCATTTGACTGTT